AACATTATATTTTTTTAAGTTGCTGAATTGATCCGGAGCAAATATATATACACATTGTTAGTCTTTATTTATTTGTTGCTGTAGTATAGATTTTTTTTAAAGAAAAGTCTGTGTGTTAGAATTTTCAAATGCAAACTGCTATAGCTGATCAGTTTTCCATGTTCAAGGGCAGTTGGGAAATGGCTGTGATTGGTGCACTATGTATGCAAACAGTTCCCAAGACATAGTTAACATTAGAGGTTTCTTAATTATTCTTTGCACTAAATGCTGCTTCCACCTAGAAGTTATTGATTGATAGTAGTTTGTGCAAGGAGAAGACTGCTGGCATTGTATCTACTGCATCAGTGCAGTGCACGTGTTAAAATAAAGGTACGCTCTCATTATTTGTGTGTTTGAATTGTTAAATCCATTGTGGACTCAGTGTTCAAATGACAGAATTGATGGGTATGATGCTTGCCATTGTACCTCCTCTTGCCTTGTTGCATAAAGGTACTTCCTGATCCTTTTATTCAGTATCTTTTCTGTCTCAGATTAATAAATTGTTATTTTCCATATAATAAATGCTCAGGTAAGATACTCTGTATATGGAACAGTGCAGTGATACTTGTAATGGGGAGAATCACTTGAGGCTTCAGTGATATTTGTCTAGAAAGAGTTAATTTTCCACACAGCATTTTAGATGTGAATTCTTTGAAGGTCTCTTAAGTGGAAGTTTGAGTTTTTCTGCTGAAGCAGTGAGTTGGCTTTAGGTGACGGTGTAGCTCATTGTGTGGCACAGAGAAAAGACAGGCTTAGGAGAAGTCAGTGTGACATTGAGAATGATGGAAACTGGCACAGAAGTTTAGGAAACAGGGAGAAGGGCACAAAGAGGATGGGCACATCAAAGAAGTTATTAGTCTTTCCAAATCACACGCCAGAATAATGTCATACATTGAAAGAATGACATTATTCCCAGAAAATATAGAGAGATTGACATGAATTCCAGCTAATTGGAAAAGAGAAGTATTCACATCTGCATTAAGTGCAGTAGTAGCAGAAAGTTTGCTAGTAGGGAAAAAGAAAAGGGGGGGAAAGTCTTAACTTTGAGGGGAAAAAAAGTCTCACACATAGACTGAGGGTAGAATAAGGAGTAATTTTGGAGTGCCTGCATGCACAGTAGGGAAGATGGGTACCTTGGGTTTTTATTTTTGCTGTTTGAGAGTTTGAGGTGTTGACAGCTTGCTGGAGGGAACAAGGTGAGAGGACGGGTGAGAGGAAGAGAACTCAATTTCTTATTTTAATTGAGGAATAGGAAACTGCAGATGATGTTGCCTGTGGGTAATAGGAGAAAGCTGACAAACTTTGCCCACAGAGAGAAGAGTAGTTGGAGTCATTAGAGATGCCAAGGGAGCAAGTGAGAGAAGTAGCAAAGTAAGCAACTGCTGCAGTGATTAATAATAGCACTGAGCAGCTCAGAAGTGCCTTTTTGAAATGTGGAATGCTTTAGGAAGCAAGGAATGGGAACTGGGAAGATATTAAAAAGTTCATACTGTGGTCATACATTGCAGTGAACTTGAGCTTCAGAGGTAGAAGTGGGGAAGGTAGAAAGAAGGAAAAGTAAAATGTGAAATTAACTTCATAATTGGAAATGTGATGAGAAGTATTCGTGTGCAGTGTCAAGAGTGGAAAGGGTGCAGGGGCAAGAAGCATTGAGTTGAAAAGGAACTGAGGAAATGAGCCAGGAAGAGGAACCAAGAAAAAGGACAACACAACAGATGTGGTGTGGGAATTTGGGGAACACATCTGGACATACAAAAAAGTGCCAGTCATACTGCCCAGCCTGTCCTCTGATGGTATTGGATGGAGAAAGAGAAATTAAAAACATTTGGGTTTGTTTTGTTCGTGGTTTTTTCTAACTGAGTAATGAGTGCAAGATGTCTTCTAAGTATTTTCGAAGGAAAAGAGCTTAACTGCTGGAAATTAAAGGAAGACTAAAAGGAAACTTCAGATTAAGGAGTGTTTAAGGGTAGACTGATTACTGAAGCAAATAAATACAAATTTCATGAAGTCCAAAGGCAAGGCAGCTGTGGGATTTAACTGTCATGGATTGTCATTGAGCATGGAAGGGAGGAAGGCAGGAAGATACCAGTGGCGTCTCTGCTGTCTTCAGCTCGTGGAACTGGAAGTACTGATCAGAACTGGCAAATGTATGGTATAACTAAAAAGCACTGCTACAGCCACCCGACTTCAACATGCCATGATAACTTTGTGTGTTACTTGAGAGGAAATTCTCATCAATGATGAATGCACAGCACAATGTGCCATATTACCTGTGCAGCACCCAAATACAAAAGTATTTTATTGGTGTATAATGGAAACATTTTAATGCAGCTGTTCTTTATATAGGCACAGAAATGCACCAATGGAATAAAATAATGGTTTAGTAGATGGGAATAACAAAGATAAGTCTGTACAGCTCTGTGACTACTTTTGTTGTTCTGGTAGTTGCTAATGTTATCTAAGACTTCCCCGTTTAACTTCACTTAATTATCAGACCTGATAGGCTTGATTTCAAAAACTATTTTTATTTCATGCTTTGTCCTGGTTCTGCTCTTAAGCTCCTCACTGGGACATTCTGTGTGAAATTATTTCCTAGTGATTGGCATGTCTTGTAGCACTTAGGTGTTTTCAATGATGTTTTATAACCACTGGTTAGTTAATTGGGGTGGAAGGATGACAGGTTTTTTTCAGGAAACAAATTTTTGACAGCTCATTGTTTAAAATGAAGACTGACAGAATACTTATAGGATCATGCCATGACTTTTCTTTTTAGAAAGGGCCAAATACTGTTAGAAATCTTCACTTGTGTCTTGAATTAAAATGTTTATACTAGGATTGTAAAATTCTTATGGTATATATAACAGTTAAATACTAAGGAAAGGAAAGTTACCTGCTGGCATTTTCTGGAGCTGATAAACAGACAGCCATGTGGCTTAAGTTGTAGTCCAGATGCACTTAATAGAAGTATTAAGATAATAAACAATTAACCTAATACTGCCAACACTAAACCATGTCCCTGAATGCCATATCTGCTCCATGGATGGTGACTCATGTGCTTCCCTGGACAGCCTGTTCCAGTACTTCACAACGCTTTCAGTGAAGAAAATTGTTCTTAATAGCCACTGTAAACTGCCTGTGGTACTAAGAGGCTGCTGGCTCTTGTCCTACTGTTTATTACCTGGGGGAAAAGAGTGACCCCCACCTCTCTACAACCTCCTTTCAGGTGGTTACAGAGAGCAGTAACGTCTCTCCAGTCTTTTTTCAAGGCTAGGGAAACTCTTGCCTCAGCTGCTCCTCCTGAAGTTTTTGCTCTGGGTCCAAGTGAGTCCCCAAGGCCTTAGAGGCCCCTGAGTTCCTCTGTTCCTGCCTGTCTGACCTTCACCCACCCCTGGATGCAGTTTGATGGCTTCTGAGAGATGGCCTCGTGTACAGACACTTCTGCTGTTTGCTTTTCTTTCTGCACTGCTCCACAGTAAGTGTTGCCTTTGTCTCCCGGCAGCTGCAGAGGTTGCAGGTAAATGGGTGACTGGCCCAGGTCTCTGGGCCTGGGAGCAGTGAAGCTGCAGATGGGCTGAGAAGTGACACCATGCTGCACAGTGGAGTTGGGAACAGCCCTGTGAGCAGCAAGGTGAGAGGAGGAGGGGAGAAAGCACTGCAGGCATCACAGGAGAGATTCCCCTGCTGCCTTTGCAGGGCTCCAGTGGAGCATGGGCTTCCCTGCAGCCCTTGGAGGAGCCAGGCCGGACCAGGGATCCACACTGCTCTCCACAGGAATTGCACTGGAGCACGTGGCTGTTTCCTGAAGAAACTACAGCCCCTCTGGCAGCAGGTTTATCCTGAAGGCCCTTGGGTGGGATCCCACTCTGGAGGCAAGGGAAAAGTGTGTGGAAGATGGAGCAGCAGGGTAGAGTTGGTGGTAGTGACTGAGCCCAGCTCGGTGCCTTGCGCTTCTCAGGAGAGCAGGGGCAGGAGTGAATTTGAACCCAAGAAAAAAGATGGGGTGTGAGAGGTGTTTAATCTTCCCTGCATTTTTAACTGGCAACATATTGAACCAGTTTGGTAACTGGTAAAATGATGAGTAGAATGGAAATTCAGCTGGAAGGAAAATCTAGAGCAAAAAGAAGTATCTAGTCCAACTTCCTGACCACCTCAGAGCGACCAAAAGTTAGAGCATGCTGTTAAAGGGCGTTACCCAAATGCCTCTTAAATGCTGACAGGCTTGAGGCATTCACCACCTCTCTAGGAGGCCTGTAGGATGGACATTTTTCTTAGGTCTCCCTGGAACACCTTCAATGTTTAAAAAAACAGGTGATACACTAGGTATGACTGGGAAAACGAGAGGAATTTAGTGCTCTTCTGGGTAAGTAGGGCAAGAGACAGCCTCATTAAAACTGAGGAGTCCAAACCATTTTCAAGTTGCTGACTGCTTAGCCTGGAGGCATAAAAATAATAACTTTTGGAACTTCTGGAACAATGAAAGAGGTTGTTCTCTTGAGCTAAATCTAAGAGCCAAACTACTGCTGAACTTTTCTATTGCAGTGTGTGTTTTCAGCCTAGGGGCTGTGCTAGAACTATTTTAAGGGCTTGCTCCCAATACAGACCAAACCTTTTAGGTTTGCTGAAGCTAGAAGGTAGAGTCCTTCTTGTCCCCTGTCTCTCTAACCTTCTGTTTCTAGAAGTGCTGCAAATGATTATGAGATGTATGGAAGTTGAATTAGCTGTAACTTCTCAAAGATAAATATTTCAGACTTTCTTGACTGGAGTGTTTTCTAAGGTCTGTTTAACCCAGTCCCCTCAATGTTGCAGCTTATGGGAGAGGGTTGCTGTGGAATAATTTATTCCACTAGCTGTGCCAAGTGAATGGTCCCAGCTATCTCTGCCCTCTCATTGCTTTGGCCTCACCCTGTGTTGTCCCCTCTTCCATGAGAGTGTCAGGGAGCTCTCCCATGGCTGTGTGACAAACCAAGTGGGTTAAAAACAGCCAAGCAGAGATGTTAAAGGGAAATGGGAAGCTGATGTTGCTCAGCTACACTGGTGAAATGAATGGACAAAAAGCTGTCTGTGCTTCAAATAAACCTGTCTGGCTCTTTATGTGCTGGCAGACCTCAATGGTGAGCAGGAATGGGAACTGGTAGTGGGATTGAAAAGCAAGTCACACCAAGTGTAGAATATGGGAAAAATGTTTAAAGTAAAGGCTGCAGAGCATCATGGTTTATACTTGCTTTCGAAATACAGAGAAGAGTTGTTAAGGGGGCTACCTCTTGTTTTTTTTTTTTTGTCTTTTCCTGACCCCATCTATTGAATTACTTATGGGTCCCTTCCAACTAAAGATATTCTTTGGTATTTTGATTTCAGTCATCCAGAAGTTTCAAATAATTTGAACTTTTGACAGCACGTAAAAGGTTAGCTAGTAACTTTGATCTAGTGGGAATTAAAAGCTTTATCTGTGTCAGTACTCTGTTGGTGGTGGCTGTCCCAGTTGATTTTTGGTTACATTTGATTTTTTTCTGTTCTTCTGAGAATTAGATTAAAAATACTGTAATAATACTCAAGTTTTAGATACTCAAGTTTTTCTCACAAGGAATTTGTTTTAAAGAATATGGGGACAGCACCCATTTTGTGCAATGTGAGCTTCCTTGCTCTTGACCTTCTTTGCTCTGTTCTTTAAAAAGAAAGAAATGTGAGACCCATTATTTAATTTCATTTTTGCTACAAGCAAAATCAGCAATGTGATTGTATATGCCTTTATACAAGGAGTGCTGTTATATACTATCACAAAGGCAAGCCCCTGCTCAGTGAGTTACTGTGGCAGAGTACCTGTGTGGGCCATGGTGAGTTCCTTCATCCAGTAGAAGTATTTTTCTTAACTGAGCATGTATTATTTGGGAGAGCAGAATAAAATGGTCTAGGTCTGGATCATGCTTCTGACCTGGCTTTCCAGCACCTGCTTGGCTGTCTGGTGGCAGCGAGTAAATAATTTTTCCAGTGAACAGAAATGTGGCCATTTTAAAGCATTTAAGTGTGAGCAAATGATACTCAAATACATCTGAACTTCAAACACACTAAAATGCATTTTATGTTATACTGATCAAAATATATTTGAATAGCTTTAAATATTTTATAGTGCATCCAGATTCATGCAACAATGGATGAGTTTCATTCAGTATTTTATTTAGCTTAAAATTATGTTTTATAGTTCCTTTTATGCCCACATATAGGGAAGAAAAAGTTGTGGTTAAAATAAAAGCAGCAAGCCATAAATGTTTTTATGAAATGAGGTTGAAAGCATTCCATACCTCTTAAGAGCATGTTTTCCAAAGGCAAATGCTTCAATTTCCCAAGAAAATGTAGTTATGGCATCACATTGTGAAAGCCTAGACAGGAGTGTGAGTTTATCTGACTGACTCAGAGTGAAGTAAGCTGCATTTGCATCATTCCTGGTAATGTGTTCTGGTGCTCTGAAGAGTGGGAGTAGTGACAGCAAAGGGAATGAATTCATTTCAGCAACAGTCAGCACCTTGCTGAAAAGCAGGAACATGGCAGTGCATTTTTTCAAATTGCTTTTCTAGGGAAAGACTTGGAATCAGAAAAAGCTAGGAAAGGCCTGTGTAAGAGGAGCAGGTCTTAGCCTCTAGGAAGTGTAAGAAAGTCCTGTGAGGAAATGGAGGGCTGTCACTTAACATAGTTGATATCCTGGGCTATGGGACCACATTCTGGCTGACTACAGCACAGCCTGGGATCCTGATCTCTCTGATGCCCCTGGCACACGGGAATTCTCATCAAGGTCTTACCAGTGTTCTTCTGTCCTGAGCTGCCCTGAACGTGGTGGGGGCTGTACCCACATGAGGAGCTCAGGGCTGGTAAGCCAGTAGGAAATTCTTTTGTGTCTTAGTCCAGATGTAGTCTGGCTGTGAGTACTTTTACTCTGCTTTGGGGAGGTGGAATATGCCTCTCCTTTCTCTTATGTTCTCTCATTAATTGCTGCTTCAAAAGCAATGATACTCCTAGGTTGTTTTTAGAAACTTATTGCCAGCCTGCAGACTTTTGCTTAGGTAAAGCAGATGCTGTGAGTATGTTCTGGCCAATCTGAATCCTGTTGGTAGTCCAAACTGCAAGACACTTATCACATCTTTCACTTTTTTATTAAAAGCACAATTGTCATGGAAGTTTTACTTGAGTATTGTTTTAAAATTGGATAATGAATGTCCCATTTCAGTCAACCATTTCAACCAAGGAAGAGGCTGATTGTGTTTGCAGCAATTTCAAAGAACTAGCAACAGAAACAGCATTAAATTTTTAAAAACCTGTGAATTTATCAGCATCTTTTAGTGGACTAAGATTCTGTCATTTTCTTGGGAAGTGCATATTGAAGAAGTTAAGGAAACTTTTTCAGAAGAGCATGATTCTTTCTGCAAGTTGTAGAAAAGGATTTAGCTTTGTTCAACATAATTTTCCTTCCCTTTAAGCAAGCTTGGTCATCACTATTTTTGTAATTAACTTTGCTAACAGTATTGCTAATTCCTTTGCATGGTTATTTAAATGCCTAAGAGTAGCTAGTTAGAGCCATACTGAGGCCCTTTCATCAGTTTCCCTAACCCAGCTACTTGTTCTTAGGTTAGTGAAAATTTATGGGGAGAAATACCATGTAATGATCCAGCTTTTGATCTATAACAAGTAGTTTGGTTATGTTTGATAGTACAGAAATCCTCATTCTGCTCTAAAACCTGGTGTTAATAGTAAAGAGGACAACAAAGCTTTATTTGAAATAGAGATGTTGGAAACTTAAGGGAAGGGCTGTCAGAGACATAGCAATTTGTCTTGTAAAGATAATTATAGTTGGTGCCTAACTGATTTTTGAGGATTTCTGCAGCTTCAGGAAAGCAAATGTTTGGTCTCGATGATGCTGTCCCATGGGGCCTCATGCTGTGGCTTCAACCTGATCCAACTCTGGTCTCCCTTTTCCAGAGAACTGGCTGACTAAACACATTTCAGCTCTGCTGAGGGGCTGCTGCTTAGTGTTATTAGATACATACACAGTTCCTGGAGTTGCACCAAGATGAGGATAAGATAAGAAATATCTAGAAATACCTCCACTGAATTAATACACACAAAATCTCACATTGTCAAGGGGCGTTTTATTTAGGATATAATATTTAATGTGTGATTTTTCTGGCTTTTAGCTGTGTGCAAAGTGAATTTTAATCTCATTTTGAGATGAAGGAAAAGAACTCAGTGGAATAAAATGCTTTGAAATAAAACTAACTTCAGTAAGAACATGAGCTGGTTGTAGCAATGCCCTGGAAGAGCAGGATTTGGTTTTTCAGGTTTGTGGGTGGGGCTTTTTTTATGGTGGTTTTCTTGGGTTTTTTTTGCCAGGCTGATTTCTTCTGAAAACAGAGGTTATGCAGTTGTGCTTTCCTTTCTCTGTATGCCCTCTCTCCCAGCCAGCCTTGCTAAGTAATGGTGGACCTTGTCAGCCAACTGCAGTCAAATTTGACAGAGGGGATTTGGGTTCAAAGATATTAATTCTGACAAGTCTTTGCCTGGATGAAAAGGTCTCTCATTTCTGCTAGAAGCCCGTGGTTAGGGGCGTTTTTGTGCAGGGGGATGTGACCCAACAGCCCCTGTGTGAGACAAACTTTCACCAGAGCTTGTGCCTGATGCGACTGCTGAGCTCTACTGCCCTGGGGTTAAAGCACTTGGAGGAGCTTCTGCTTCACATTTTTTTGGTTTCCTACAAAAGTTAGCACAAGCAAGCTCAGAGTTGATAGCAGTGACAGAGTGCCTGTTACCTGTTCAGTGGCACCTCTGTGGAGGGATTGCTCTGCTCCTGGCTGCAGCTGTCTCTGAGCTCTGCTGCTGCCAAAGACGGATTTGTGCTGCTGGAGATCCAAGTGGGAGAGCAGGCAGAAACCATTGCTTTTGCAGAGGCACTCGTGCTTCTCCGAGGGACAGGAGGTCACAGCGGAGGGATCTCTTTGGCAGATGCTGAAAGCAGTCACGTGCAGGGCTGGTGGCTCTCCTCCTCTTTTAATTTAAAATGCTGGTGAATGTGTGTCTCATTGCACACCTGAAGATTCATCCATGGAACAAAAACTCCTTGGTAACCAAGCTTCTTGCCTTCACTCATATAAAGAGACTTTGACAGCTGCGAGCAAACATCTGGACAAAGCAAAATAAGTGGGTAAATCTCTGGTGGAATGATGCAATATTTTAAGGAAATTTGTGTTCTTATCTCCCTGCACCTACGGCTGTGGTCACTGGAAAAATGACATTTCCCAGAAATGTCTTTTTCGGTGTCTTTTTCAGTGTCTTTACAGCCTATGTACGTAGTTAGATTATATGAAAAAAAGCAAAAATTTGCTCTGAGTTATGCCAGGGTATCTTGTATATTTCTTAATCCCCAACTGAAATGCCTTTCTACAGCCCATGTCAGCTTGCACCCTTGTTTAATCTCTGCAGCAGGATGACAGATGGGAAGGATGCCCATGTGATGGCTGAGTGTAAACACTCTCTGGTTGTAGTGCGAATGTGGTCTTTAGGAGAAGTAGTGTTTGGTTTAGCTGGAATTTAATGTGCTTTTTGACAAAAAATTGCCGGAAGACCTAAAGCAGTTCCTTCTGCTTGAGAACATATGTATTGCATCATTAAAGTGCTTTTTAAAAAGAAGCAAATAAAAAGCTTGCAAACTTGAGTGGCATAACTTTAATCATTCCAGATGTTGGGTTTCATAGTCAGTTGCTGTTTGGTTTAGATATAAGCACCTTTTGGTCAGAGAATGCAATGCTTCCTGCAGCAGGGAAAATTTTTTCTTGGAGTAATGAGAATAGCTTAGTCTACTTGGAATTAAAGAAGAAAAAAATGATTTGGGGTATTAAATGTTGGAGAACAAAGTTTTCTGCTTTGCAGGGTGTTCTCCTTACAGTTGCAGTTATAGTTAGTGGAAAAGCTTGCCACCAGCAGTGTTTGGAGCCCTGCAAGTCCTGTTGGCTCAGTATTGACTCCTAATTAATGATCCACATTCTCACAGATGCACTGAGGCCTTCTGTGATGTGGCTGGACCAGTGGAAAACAATAGAGTCATTTATTTCCAGCTGTATTTGTCCCATGAATAAAGGACGTGAAGTAGTGCCAGAGTGTGGTTTCTCTTGGCTGCTGTACAGAAATTTGGCAGCTTTTGTAGTGAAGGGAGTGTAATTTATAAAATTCAGAGATCTGATGGCAACTGGTCAAGCTGTCTTCAAATCAACATGTTGGGCTTTTCTCAAGTATGCTTTGTGTACCTAAAGCCCAGTTCTGGCTACAACAGCTGCATAGTCCAAAAAAACAAGTTCAAGGCCCAGGGTGAAATGGGATGGAATACAGCCTTTGCTCTGACCCACACTAATTAATCTCTTTCAATGAAGCTGGCATATCCCTCTGTTTCTATGAGAAAGCCACTCAAGCTGTATCTGGTGTCTCTGCTTCTATCAGTGGGATGGTGGCTGTGTTTTCCTTTAGCCATGGGCTGAAAATGCTCAACAGTACATCACCAAAGGTGTGATGCTGTGATTGTGGACTGCTTCTGTTAAGCTGTACTTGCACTAATGTGCCTTAGGCACCTGGCAAGTCTTTAATGTGCACCATGAGGACAATGTCCTTTGAGGCAATGTCTGTAACTCACGTGTTGGTGTAACCTAATATGTTTTACCTGTATTACATTGGGTTTACGTCTAGAACTGAACTGGGATTTTTTTGTCTTTTTATAAAAAGTATCAGTGATTGTTTTAATATGTTTTGAAGTTATCTAAATGCCAGAAAGATGAAATATTTTACAGTACTCAGGTTCATTGCACGCAGGTTCTTTAAGCAGGCTTGGGCTGACCATGTGCTGACCTCAGGCTGTTTTGCTGTTCCAGAACTTCACCAACACTTAAGCAACTGGTTTTGACTGTTCCAGTGAAAACTGGGCAATATGTGTAATTCAGTTGACCAATTGAATAATCAAACCTCACTGTCTTGGGCCAAGCTATATGAGGAGAAGCTGACATGGTCCTATTGATTTTAGCTCTGGTAAGTGCTCTTGTCTGACTCTGACACAATGGCTGGAAGTGAGAATTGTGTCTGCTTGTGGGAGAGCAAGATAACACATACTCGTGTGTCTTTTGAATGTACATTCATGTGCATACACACACACTTATATTCACAGACAGACCTTTTCTAGGGGCTGGGACATTTGCTGTAGTTCAGCCCGGACCATGTTCCAGAGGGTTGGCCAATTCTGGCATATGACCATGGATAGAATTGTTTGTGCATTGTCCTGGCTTTGTTGTAAGTGCCAGAGTGATCCCATTGTTTGAGTGGGATCTTGGTCAGATGGAATTCTGAGTGAATGAAGCATGGTTTGGAGCATGTAGCATTTGGTTATTACTTTTTTGCCCCCTATGTCTGTTCAATGTTTTATGAAGGTTTAGCAGAGTCTTTGCACAGCCTCATTAAGTGCCTTATTGGGCTGCAATGGCCAGGAGTGCTGTTAGCAGTTCCAGCAGGAGGTGTGGCCGTGTATCCTGTACCTGCCAAAGAGCTGCTGGATTTGGGAAGAACAAGGCAACCAAATCCTAGAACACTCATCAAAAATGTGTATTAAATTCCGCAGGCTTTTGTCACAGATCATCAGTATCAGGAACTTACTCACATGTGCTCTGTGCACCTTTTCAAACACTGCCAGAAATGGACCTCTGCAGCTGTTGCCTGCAGCTGTTTATGGTTTAGCTGTAATTTCATAGTTCTGTACATGCTGGAGAAACCAAGATGGTTTATTGACTACAGGCAGGCTCTACAGCTAGAGGAAAGGACACTTTATACTATGCCACAGTATAAATAAGCCCACAAACCCAAACATGGAAAAGTCATTCTGTTGCTGACAGCTGATTTGTGACTTTTCTTGCCACAAGGATTAGGTGCTGCTTGGAGCTCACTCGCCACAGGACTCCTGTAGTTGGAGCTTGCTGGACTTTGTTGGGGTAGCTCCATGTTCCCATAGTTGTCACCTTGTGTTCGGGAGAGGGGAATTAATGGTCCAGCTTCTCCCTGCTCCTTCCCTGTCTTTCCTTTCCCACTTCCTTCCCCTGACACAGATTTCCAAAGAGAAATAACAGGTTGCTGCTTTGTCTGTTGAAAGCTGTTCTTAGTTTCTAGCTTGATGTTGTCCTAGAAAGAGATCAATTGTGACAATGCAGAGTCCCCAAGCAGTGCAAAGGAGAGCTGCTTTATTGCAAAAACCAGGCCTTTTGGAGCAGTTAGCTGATGATCAGTTTAGGCACAGTTTTCAGTTTAACCCAAAGTTTTAAGGCACAACAAACCCAAATCAACCAACCACCACGCAGCACGATGTGGACACCCAGCCATCACACAGCACAGCTCTCTACCCCTGTTCCAGCTGAGTCACTCTCCCATAGTTCCCTTCTACCTAGCCTAAGTGAAGGCCTGAGCCATGATTTTACAAGGGTAACAAGGCGCTTATTTTATAAGACTTTACCTTATAAAATAAGACTTTGTGTAACAATAGATGCAAGCAAAATCCTTCTAGTGAAACACAGATAGAGGATGATGTTCAGTATGGACAAGTACTTCTCAAGGGGAAAGAAGCTGAAATGTAGAAATCATGGGGGGATTGAGTAAGCATATGATAATTCAGTTTTGGTTGGGAGGACATAAAGCTGGCAGTATGAATAGGTCTAATAGCTCAACATTTGTAGTGTTGGGGTTCAGTAGAAAAATCATCAGGTAACCAACAGCAAATACTTGTCAAAAGGTCCTTCTGAGGTTTACTCAGTGTTTGGGTCATGGATGCAGTGGATTAAGTGTTGAGATCACATGGTGTCCATGCATTTTCTGTCAATACCCTGCCCCTTTGGCAGCCCCTTTGAGATCATAGTCATTTCTGATATGAGGACTAAATTGCATCAATATCACACAAATACCTTCCCAAACCTGTGCTGGTACCAGTCTTGTGCTGAATATTTCTTATAACCAGGTACCTGCTCACACCCTTGGAGTCATTCACGCATGAGTGGGAATTTTTATAGTGGGAGGCATGTGATCCTCCTGGTTCTGCAGCATCATTTCCCTCTCCTGCCTCAGCTGATGGATGTCAAAATCATGGGTTATATGTGGGACAATAGGCAGGTGAAAAGGAGCAAATTTTTTTTCCTGTTCTGCATCAAGCAGATGTGGGAATGCCCTCTTGGAGTTTCCTGGTGAAGAGGGACAGGAATAAGAACTGAGGGCGTTTTGTTTGCAGGACACCATCTAGGCAGTAGTGGGGGGATGAGGAGTGAGGATTTTAGGACCTTCAAACTCTAAGTCTTCTTCTAGATAGAGTGGGCTTTCCCTTTATGTCCATGTGACATCCAGGACAACTTATGTGCAGGTGCTCACAGGGAAAAAGGTTTGAGTCTCCAAGCTGATAACTGCCATCGCACACGTTTTGTGACACATGTATGTCTTCCTTCTCTCTCTACTTGTGCAACTTTTTATCAGGATGGTTGGGGGCTGAGATAAGGACTTTTAAGTCCCCATGAAAGTAAGTAACTCAGGCACATAAACTGCTGTTGAAAGCATGAGCATGGTGCTGCCTCTCCCTGCATCCTTATGTTTTGTATGAGAGTGCAGCTCTCAAAAAGCAAGAGCTCCTCAGAGGGCTGAATGTCACACTCAGCTCAGAGAATTCACCCTGAAATGGCTGTTTTTTTACTTGATGAATGTAGAATGTTTGCTACATGGAGGGGACTATCAAGTCTACTCCACTGAGAAATCTATATAAATAAGATTTTTTTTAATCCCCCACCATCTTAAAGTGCCAAATAGATACTTTTCCACTAAGCTCATAGTAGTACTTGACTTGGAAGCACCGGATCATCTCTTAAAATGTGTTGTGTACCAGCAAGGACTGAAATATCTTGCCTAGAAAAAAACAGGTCTAACTTTTAGAGCAGGACTTTTCTGTAGGTTGGCTGATTATTGCTTTGTGCTGCTTGACTGTGATTTTTGGCACACAGTGTCACATACCAAATTCCCGAAATAAAATGCTACATGATATTCTAAGAGTTCTTAGGAAGCTTTAAAAAGGGATTTGTCTGCTGAGTGGGTACCTCTTGAAGCCAAATGATGCAGCAGCAGTGGTTTAAAAGGAGAAAACTTTAGTCAGCAAATAATTAGTCTTTTTTAAATAAGTGCAAGGAGAAAAAAATAAAACCTTCCATCAGACTTGTGTTTGTAGAAGTTGTCAGCGATCCTGCTTTGATTGGAGAGGGTGTGCAGCCCTTTGAATAGTTAAAACATCTGTTCAGCGACGTTGTGAAATGCTCGTGTTCGGAACCCCTGATAAGGGGGACTGCTGAGCGCTGGGCTCTCACAGGCTCCACGGGCAGCAAGGGCTGCACTGACTGTGGCCACTGCTTGCCTTTCCTCCTCCTGGGCACAGCAAAACGTAGGAGACAGCTACTATTTTACGTGTGATTTTGCTTTGAGAGGGAGAGAGCAGGAAGTGCCTAGGAAATGGTTCATGACAGAAACCTGGAGTTTTAAATAGGAGAGAAGAGGAGGAGAGCTCATGGGCACAGTTTGTGAACAGTTGAAACACTGACACAACAGCAGCAGGGGAAAACCAGGCATCTGAGAGAGCAAGCACCTCCCAAGCTATCCTGATGGAAGGAGAGACAGTCCCCGAGGCCAGGGGAGCAGCCAGCAAAGCCACTCGGATCGCCCTCGGTGTCTTTGTGAGTGGCACTGTTGTGCTTGGCACCGCTCTTTTCCTGGGTAAGTGAAAGCGTTGACACGAACCTGAGCACAACCTCCCCAGCCTGTCTGCTGGGTGCCCGTGTTTGTGTCTCACGGCGTCTTTTGGTGAAGATCTAAATCTCTTTTTCTTTCCCCGCTTTTTATATTTATCCTGAAAGGGATGTGTCAGTAAAGGAGCTCTTGGGGGATTGCTAGATCTGGGAGATACAATGGGAACTCATGTAACGTTTTGAATGCTGAATTTAAATTTAGGTACTCAGTTGAATGTGTTCTGACCAGACTTGGGCTCTTTCACAGGACAGAGAAGCAGGTGAGATGATGCTAATTACGGATTCAGTGGTTGTGGCTGATGTGGAGTAATATTCTCTGTTTCCTGAAAATGAATCAGTGTAGTGCGTGTATTTTATGGAATCTTTTTGGGTTTTCCTTCATTTGGTTTTCATTTAGGGCTTGACTAAAACCCCTGTAGAAAGCTTCAATAGTGCTTATGTGTGCACATTTTTTACATCTTTCTGTTCTTCTATGATGAATTGCAAAGCTGTCTTTACAAAAGTCATAAAGAGTGCATCTAGGATGAAATTGAAATATTTTTGTTAGATATATAAGCTGTAGCTAGATGCAACAGAGAAGGAAATAGTTTTTCCTCTCCCAGATTTGGAATTACCTGTAGATTGGTTTTGTTAGTATACCACTTGAAAGCTTATGCCTACAATTCTGAAATTATGTGTAAAAGTATAAATATACCCAGAAACTCCAGGCAGAGAGGAAGCTGTGTTGCATCCTGTAGGAATTTGCAGAGTTGCATCCTGTTTTGGAATGATTCTGCCCAACTTTTTTGTCTTTAGACCAACACAGATTTTGCTAGATTGGTGGAAACCTTGCCTCTAAGCATATCTTTTGCTTTCATCCAATCCTTTATGATCTTGAGGTCTTGTTTGAAAGGTCTGCAAAGTTTATAGTCACAAAACAAGGTCAGGTTTTCTATAGAATATTTAAAGCACTAGGCTCACTCTTGGTTAGAGCTTTTCTGCTCTGGGGCAATTTCTGCAACATTTGCAGGAAAATGACTTCTGTGTCAGTGATCCCATTCAAGCTAACTTTTTATAACCATGAGGGAGTTTGAATCTTCAAATTTCTAGATAAAAGAAAAAGTTTTTCACTTAAAGAATGCAGTGTAAACACCAGGGAGTAATAATGGAGAGACCTTATTTCTTTTTGTCTGCACTAGATTTGTTTGTTTATTGCTTAGAGCAGTGAAAGCAATTGACATTTACCACCACAGCTTCTCAGAGATAGAACTGCTTTATCCATAGGCCAGGTGTGAAAATTCAAGCAAATATATTAATTCTTGCAGACAGTTTTCCAAGTGTGCCTGTGGCATGTTTTGTAGGCAGGGACTCAATATCAAAATTTTTATTGGCATAACTGCTAAGAAAATAAAAATGCTGGCTTTGGGTCAACCAAAATGCTTTTAGGATTTCTCTGGAAATGGTCTAAAATTTTCAACCTAAAGAACCAAGGGAAAAAAGTTAAATTGTTTTGGTTTAACGTTTTTTCAATTAGACGTTTTCACGCTTCATTGTGACATTGTTTTCTTTGTAAGTTTGAGCTAATTTTTTTTTTAGTTTTATTTGACTGTAGAAATGGACATAATTTTTTCTGTCCATATGAAAGATTTCAGGAACCTCAAGATGTTCTTTTTTCTTCAGTTTTCATTTAGACTGCAAAACTTGTTGGTTTTGGTATACCTGAAATTAATTTTCCAACCTGAGGAGTGAAATGTAACTTTCTCCTACTTTCTTCTCATAGTTCCTATGAGTCTAAGGAGGATGTGGGAGAGTCAGGTATTGTTATTTACTGTTCCTTGCTCGTGCTGGCTGTGACCTTGCTGACTTCAGTGGGGAGCACTGCTGGGGTCCTGCCTGTGGCACTCTGGTAGGAGTGGGGCTGTGACAGGACAGCAGCCACCTCCTCCTGGGAGGGAGCAGATTGTTCTCCAGTGCCCTTGGGTGAGAACTCAGGCAGCTTTGAATCTCAGTTTGAGAGCCTCTTCTCCACACTTGGTAGGAGAGTTCTCCTTTGCGCTTCTCACATCGCAGGAACATTCACATTATTTGCATCTGTACATTTGTATTGTTTTCCTTTTCCCTTATAAATTATTTTTTTTAAACTCAGTCGTGGAGTGTATTTGCTTAAGAATCTGCAAACAGGCTTATCAAGGAGGAAGCTAGGATGCTGAGGGTTATAACCATGACTCTAAGTAATAATGTTGTGATTAGTAATCTTAACAATAAAAAGGCAAGAGAACAAAAAAAAACAAAAACTGTGCAACATTTTTTCTGTCAAAATTAGCTGTTATTTAAAATGGAAATGTTACTGCCAAAAATTTATTCTAATGATAAAATTGTAGGTTTCCCAGTTGAAATGGTATTTTGTGTTTGTTTAGAAGTATCAAAAACACAAGGGCTGCTTCAGGTTAAGCATGAAATGATGTCTGGGCTTTTCCCTCCTTTTGCTGCTTTGTTAAGAAAAAAGTCTAGCAAACATTCAAGACCTAGACAGATTCTAAAGAGCTAAATTCTAATCAGGGAAAAAGGTGAGTTGGGAGGAATGCAACACTTAATTAAAAGGGACATTATCCATTATTTGTAGTTCATCTTTGTAGTGGCTCAAAATCATATTGTGGAGATATCCACTTCTCTATTTTCTTCTGTTCTTCAATATTCCAATTACAGCCTTTGTGTGCCTCAAAATCTTCTGTATTTCTTGGCTAATTTACAAAGGTGTTTGAGATGTTGTATTTCACTAAACCAATGCAAGCTTTGGAAAAGCTGTCCAGAAATAGTTTTATATTGCCATTTTCTGAGGAACTTGGATTGAAATCCAGATATTTCTATCATTAATTGCCATTAAAACAGTGAGACTGGAAGAGAGGAAACAGCTTTATATTAAATTCTAGCTTTAGGACCTTTTGTAAAAAAAATTTCCTGGGCTGAAATGAAATGTCACATTTTTCTATTACTTTAAAACAACATATAACTACAGCAGAAATTGCTTTAGAACTATCAGTGCTGTTAAAGCTATGGTACCATAATATAATCAGTTGTTGGGGTTTTTTTGTTCAGTGTTATTTGCTTTTTTTATTTTTGCCGTGGACTGTTATTAAGATAATGGATATAATGAGACATTTCTTTATGCCTACTGAGCACATCTAGTGAGAAATATTTCACCTATCCCTTGGGATTCTCCCTTCCTAGTCCCAAGTATCAATTATCTGCATATTTGCTTCCTGAGAGCAGTGTCTGAAATTAGCAATTCCTGTGCTTAAATTTCAGGGGCAGTTGTAATACAAGTTTTTAAAAGATGGGCAAAATTAACTGATGATTTCATAGTTCTTCTCAGCGAGGCTTTTGGAAGCAAATGCAATTACAATAGTTTTGGGAGACAACTCAGACAGAACCTGGGTTGTGCCTTATGAAGCACAGCTATCCCTGTGCCCATTGCAATCTGCTTTGTTGCAGGCTGGCATAAGGAGACCCTGGCAGGGTCCTGTTGGTGCTGGGTTGTGCTGGGCAGTGCAGTGCTGCTGCAGGGCAGTGTGGGCACCACAGCTCTGGAAACCCTGCTGAGGATGGGGAGACTGCTCCGCATTGCATTTCCCACCATGGAAGGTGCAAACTGGTCCTGTGGAAGGTCCCTGCCCATGGCAGAACATTGGAATTAGAGGATCTTTAAGGTCCCTTCTAAGCCTCGCCATCCTATTCTCCTGTGTTTACAAGCTCTGGAGGATGACAGCAATGCTGAATTGTTTGTGTCGTGGTGCTGCTCACTGTCAGTGAGTAGGGCTGAGGTGATGCTGCTCCAGGCACTGTGCACACACAGCCCTTGCTCTGTGCTGCCTGTGAGCAAAGAGGGGGAAGGAAAAAGCAGGACTAGGAGGGGGAAGTTATTTGTACAAGCTGCAGTATTTACATAATATATATTCTAAATATTTACTTAATATACATTCTAAGTGCTCTAAATCAATGCAGTCAGAGAGGCACTGGGACCAGAGGCTGCACTGATATTGGAATGATTGAATACACAACATTTGGCTGCAGCTGTCAAAATTCATTGCAAATGATCTCATTATGGTTTTCCATTTTGCAGTTAGCCAAGGTCTTATAAAGTTTCATCCGAAGCAACAGTACTGTTTGACTGCCGAATGCATTGAAGCTGGTAAGCAGCAATTTTATCTTCTCAATTATATCATGATTATAGTATGTTAATGAGATGTTTATACCATTTAATTTTTCCCATTATACATTTTACTCAGAAAGCTCAATTAATGAGGGAGAAAAAACAATAATCTCAAACTTTTTAAAATGTAACTGTTCAAGTTGCTTCTGTTTTGTTTATTTTGTACAATTAAAATTTGTGTTTTAATTTGGTCTAATACTAGTTAAACTAGGTTGACTCAAAGTTTATGTTGAGTGACTAGACCTTCAGGTATATTTTGTTGCTTCCTTTCCAGTTATCAGAAAACTAGCAAGTGTATTGTTAACCACAGAGATGCTTTTCTACCAGATCTGGCACACACTTTATATGATTTTATATTAAAATAGGGTAGATTCAGACTAGTTATATGGAAGAAAATTTTTGTGGTGAGAGTGGTGAAACACTGGCAGAAGTCACTCAGAGAAGTTGTGGATGCCCCGTTCTGGAGGTGTTCAAGGTTGGCTGGGACTCTGAGCAACCTGGTCTAGTTGATGATGTCCCTGCTTATTGCAGAATGTTGGAACCTTTAAGGGTTCCTTCCAAGGCAAGCTATTCTATGATTTTATGGTTAGGTACTGAAAAGATGCTGAGTCTTGGGCCTGTCAGACTGATCTCTCTCTTTCCATCTCTCTTTCACTGACAATAGTAACTGGTAAGGAAGTAGTCACAAAATGGAGCTGAAAATACAATTATCTTTTCAATGTAGGGTAGATCAGAATTTGATTTGTTTTCTTGTGCAGTATTCAACTAGAGGTAAACACTGCATAGTCACTGAAATGCTAATCACAATCTACTTAATATGTATCACTACTAAATTCCTCAGGCAATTAATTCTATCATGGCAACAATGGAGAGCTTGTCTTCAGGTGTCTGGCTCCAGCAGCTCATGTTCATGCAGTGCTAAGTTCAGTCATCGTTGCTGTATGGCACACAAGAAGATTCATTGCAGATATTTTGTCTTTTTTGTTTGTTTATTTGTTTCTCATTAATCATAATTTCTGGACTGTAGCCTTGTGTAATTCTCTATTTAGGAAAAAGTGTTCCACAAAATCTCTGTGGTGTCTTTTTTACAGCTGCTGGCATCCTGAGCAAGATAAATCAATCTGTAGATCCATGTGAGAACTTCTATCGATTTGCATGCGATGGCTGGATATATAATAACCCTATTCCTGAAGATATGTCCAACTATGGTGTTTATCCCTGGCTGCGACACAAGGTGGACCTCAAACTAAAGGGTAAATAGATAATTTCTAAAAGTATTTTTTTGGCTTGTCACTGTAGCTTGTTAATTGGCTGGGTTTGATGACCAAAAATCCCCACAGTTCTCATCACTGGATAACATCCTGATTTGAGGCTGTTGCCTGACTTGATGTTCTCTTTTAAGTATATTTTCTCTTTTTTTTTTTTTTTTTAATTGAAAATTACATTGAGAGATAATGAATTTAACGTAAACAGAATTTGGGAGGAAGAATAGAACTGCTGGGAATTCTGGTAATTCTACCAGTTAAAAATGGATGGATGAAATTATACTGATTATAGCAAAAGAAAAGACAAGGGGATTTAACTCTTTCCCTCTTGCAGTAGGTGGTTAGACCAGAGTGCAGGAGCTCAGCACACACAATTAAGAATGTCCCAAAATCAATGATCAGTCCAGGGCAGCAGGCTGTTTCTAACAGTGGCCAGCAGCAGGAAAGAATATAATAAGGCCAAACCAGGATGACATTTTCCAGTACATTCACCTAGGCCTTGGCAGAGGCAATTCTGAGGCTTCTGGAGGTGGAGGTTGTTTGGATATTGTGTTTCCTTCCCACTGCCATTCAGGCTGCCACTGAAGTACCTGAGCTATCATCAGTGAAACAGAAAGTTGCTTAAGAATGTGTGTCTGGAGTTAAAAATAGCCCCAGGGTGGAAACGTGTAGGAAGAAAGGTATTTTAATCTGCATGTACTTGACTTTGGGCTATACTCTGCATTGTGGCTACCTCCCCAGGAAGCCCTGCAGACCAGCTGGGGAGAAAGGGGATGATTATTGTTAGGTAGGAAAATCTTTTCAGATTCTTATAGTCTTGGCTAGAAGTGAGTCATTCAAAAAAAGGGAGACATGCAAGATTTAATATTGTTGGTGGTGTGCTTGAGCTTTGCCCACCTTGAGTACATAAGTGACATAAGAGCCTGGCTTCATCTCACCACAGAACAGAGGTTCAGTTTTAGAATTTAATGCTTAAATACAGCACTTGTTTTTCTTTGGATTTTGTGTAGGCACCAAAGCTCTTCTCCAATTGCTTTTTTCAGTCTTATTGTATACAATTTTCACATCATTAAGTATTTTAAATACTGCATTTGGGTTCAGAATATGAGTTGTGGTTTTCAGCATAGTACATGATCTCACAACTTCTGTTTCAAGTCTGCTGAAGATGTCTCAAGGAAAGGAAAAAAAAAATGTTGCCAGAGGCTGTTTTAAGTTATGCTTTGCATTCTAATTGTTCTGCTGCCAGAATTGGGCTGTATTAGATAACTGCACGTCCTGCATGAACCATAGCCACAAGGAGGCCAGTCTTAATTGAATATAGAGTAGCAAAGCTGTCACTGTCATCCTTAATTTCCTCTTTTTACAGGTCCTAATCAAGGACATCATGCTAAGCCAGATTTTTATTTGGTTTTCTTTCTGCAGTTCCTTTAAAGTTGCTAGTACATAGCTAGAAAAAATGCAAGACAAAGAAAGTAACATCCAAGTGGGAAGTATTTGCTTAATGAAAACTCCATATCAGATAAAGGGAGTTTATACAAATGTATTTAATAAGAGGCCCTTGGCACAGACAGGGCCAAAAAGATGTGAAATGCTGGGTGGTGCATAGGAGTGTTTTTAAAATAACATTTCCCATCTCTTCCTTAACTTTTTACTTCATGAACTTTCCAAAATATATTCTTTGTAATTAAAAAAAAAGGAAAATAGAAAGCTTTGGTAGCTGGAATAATAAGCATAACTTCAGCCTCTCAAGTGTTTTCTCTTGAGTTATCTCAATTAGCTCAACACTGAGTTATTAATTTGTGCATGACCACAACCTCGCTAGCAGAAGTTTTAGCAAGAGGAAGAACTCCTGCATAGACAAACAGTTATAGGGCTGAATAGACCTTGGAAGTAAATTTAATCTCTCCTTTCTCAAGAACTCTTAGTAGAACTTTGTACCACATGGTAAATAGTCCTGTTTGATGTTCAGTAGATTAAAAAATCTCAGTCTTTAAAAACCTGGTCATTATGCAAGTTCTATGCTCTGAAATACTTATCATATTAAAGAAAACTATTAATCTTAAACTGATAACGTGGCTTGGCCAGCAAGACACATTTTTCATATTTGATTTTCTTTGATGGTATGATATAGATGGAAACATTTATTAAAGCTATATATAAAAAATTTATGTTATTAAAAGAAACTGTTTGGACATCTAATCTATTTTCTGGTCCCTGAATGTTCCTGAGCCTAGTCCTGCTCCAGAGAAAGGGATTTTTGGCAAAGATCTGTTACACAGGCTGCACAAGTGTATCTTCAATATTCTGGAAGCTCTTTTTTTTTTTGTTCAGGAGCAATTGCTGCAAAAGAAGATCTTCCAATAGATAATGAGTAGCAAGTGTAAGAATTAATTTTGTCTTACCAAAAAAAGGTAGTTGTGGCTGTGTAATGTAATGTACTTAGCCCTGCATTAGGTGTTAGAGGGCTTGAGAACGAAGCTTTTTTTTTCTATTTCTTTTGGGACTGGTGTTTTGGTTTGTTTTGTAGTTTCTTTGTTTGGTGGGTATTTTTTTGTTTTGTTGTTTTTTGTTTTTTTTAGTGTGTGTGTGTGCAATTTTAGGTTTTGTTTAGTTTTTTTTTTTTTTTTTAGTGTGGGGTGGCAATTTTTGGTTTTTTTTTGTTTTCTTTTTTTTTTTTTTTTGTGAGTTTTTGGAGGTTTTTTGAGACTCACAAGAGCAAACAGCTTTGCAGGCGTCAGCTTCGAAAAAGGGTAGAACATTTTCTGTATTGGTGAAGGTTTTTGGTGCCTCAATAAGAAATTCCAAAGAGAGGAAATGGCAGTAGGTCAATCCAAAATAGTTAAGAACTGCTGGGTGGTAGATTTTTTTTTGTCCGCATATCTCGAGTTGATTAAAGGATCAGGATTGGAAACATTAATTTTGGGGTTCTTCTAGATCTCCAAATCGTAATGTGATAGTTAAAAATACTATTTTTTTAAGATTTGGGTTTATAATGGGGTAGGTATATATATATATGATGCTCCCATGGATTTCTCTAGCTGTCTTAAGATGCATTCAAGCTAAAATCATATCATCATTTCCCCTTTAATTTCTTTTCCATACATTGTTTGAGGGTCACTTGGGTTTATTTTTCTGTGCTCAGAGGAATCCACAAACCACATGCGTAACTCACTTTGATCTCCTGACTATACAAAATAAATAAAGTTCTAGCCTGGAGAAAGTCGTGGTAGGTCTTTCCTTGGATGTGATCTTCAGCAGGATTTCAGGCGACGTGGAGGAATGTAAAGGAGATAATTGTAGAGAGCCAAAAATACCTCAAAAGCACAGGCCTGTGGTTTGGTTTATGACCCAAACCTAGGTAAGGGACATGTAATATTTAGGTTAAAATTTCTTATAGAACTGTTCCTTATAGAACTTTCCTGGAGAGGACTGATGTATGACTACTTTCCCTTAACCATTCCTGGCTGGAGCAGGTTGTCCCTGACCTGAAGCCAGCCTTTCTTTTTCAGCTGCAGCACAGGCATGTTAAAAAGTACCTCACATCAGAGCAAACACACCTGGTGCCCCATAGGCCTCTGATGGGGAAGTCCTTGGAGTCCTTCAAAATGGAAAGAATCATTTGGCTGTGGCCCGTGTTGTGTGAACAGAAGCGATCTCAAACTGCAACAGCTTCAGCCTCATGTCAGGTCAACATAGCAGTAACTCTAGGAGTTACTGAAGGTTTTTCCAATTACCATAATAATTCCTACAAAGCTGTTTGTATTTGATGAATTTTTCCATTTTGGTTTGATGACCTCCATTAAGGTTTTAGGAGTGCTTTTTTTTTTTTGTCACTGAAAAGTAAGTGGCTTTTTGTGAGCAGTTTAGAGCTGGACGTCTGAGGCACATAATTCAGTGCTTATTACCTGTGATGAATGTTGGTGGTGAACCCAGAAGCTTCTTTTCTTTTCTCTGAAGTATGATGGTATACAGCTGTCTTATTTTTTTCTTTCTGTGAGTGACCATGCAGGAAGCAATAAATTAAAATAAAAACTACAAAACAAAACTGCACAAACATTCCTAAATCTCAGTACTGCAAAGGACCTGATTTAAATTATGTGAATCATTTGTGAACATGTCTTCCAGATCTTATAAATTTAATTTGACTGTGGAAATCAGTTTACAGATTAAGTCTCCATACTGTTCCTGGTCCAGTGAGACACCTACTTCAGGCTGATTTGCTGTGCTAAGCTTTGTAGTGTGGCTGTTTTCTGAATGTCAGTCAGTTTAAAATGAGGAATTTCCAATGTGGTAAACAGAAAGATATGGAGGTCTTTGAGGAGGATATGGTGTGTGGGTTTCTGAAGAACATGAGACAGACAGCAAACAAAATATCTTGGCAGCGTAGGCAACTTTTCCCAAGATAATCTGCAATGATTTCCTTTGGAAAAGAAATTGTTTATAAGTAAAACTGGTAAGTAAAAATATCTCTTTGGAAATTTATGCTGTTTGACTATAGGCTATCCTTTCAGACTGATCCCAGGAGTTGGTGTTGAGCAGTTGGTGTTGCTGTTGAGTGTTTGCTGTCCTGCACAGAGAACCCTGTGCCACAGGACTCTTTTAGGGCTGGGTTTTATCTCCCACCATTCGACTGGTGCTCAGCTGGGACCACTGGGATAGTTTGGATGTGCTCCATGAAATCTGTAATGCAGCTGCTGACACTCATCCCCAGGTTTCCATATTAGCTGACCTGTCTCTTGTGATTTGTTTCCTTCAAAGTTATTTGAGCTTTTTGAGCGCTGTCCTAAGTATGAGGAAGAATACCTGCAGCAATTAAAATAAGAGAGGATATTTATTGTTTTGCCTCCAGTATATTGCTGGCTAACTGCTCTTGAATAACAAGAAGGCAGAAAAAAATCAATAGCACTTCATGCTGTTTTTCTTGGCTTTTTCTGCAATAAATGCATCTCTTTTCAATGGTATAGACACTTTTTCAGTGATCCAAATCTTTCCTATAGTGGCTTATTTATATGAATGTAAGAAAAAACATAAGTGGCACAAGTCAGGTAAATCTCTCCTGGCAAGAAGTTAATAGCTTTTTGGTAAAATGAAGGACCTTAGTCAAAAGTGGAGAAGCCAGGACTTTTTCCAGGCTTTGTGGCTGCTCAGAATGAGAATTGTGTTTGTAATGGGTGATTTTGGGAAGCCATGAGTACAGAGAGGAGACAATTTTGGTTCCTAAATGAGGTTTAAAGGCAGCACAGTAACTGAGCCGCAGGATTCCCACAGCATCTGCCTGGTTTGGAGACTGGAATGGCATCCTCCTCTGAGCCCTCAGCTAGAACCAGAGCGGGGCATCCTGCTCCCTCCTGTTCCACATGTGGCACATATTTCCCTTAAATTTACAGTGAGCCTGGGGTTTGTATGATATGTGTCATTCACACTTGCAGATACTGAATTTCAAAATTTTTGACGGCTTGTGTTTGAGTGGGTAATTTTACAGAATCAGGATGATGCCTTGGAATGAACAGCAATCCATGACATATGATTCCCCTTTCTGACAAAAAGCAATTTCCACAAGTACATGTTGAAAGTATTATTGTAATAAAGTAATGCTGCCATTTAGTATGGAGCTCCAGCTATATTGTAACAATTGGGAAATTTGCAATCTTCTGGTGTAAATGTGGTATAAAATCTTTTGCCTAACATTATAATGACATGTGTTATCCCCTAAAGCATAATACTAGGAGGCCAGAAGGGCAGGACAGGGAAGAGGGCAGTTCTACTCAAAAGAATAAGATTTATTATTGAAATTTAATTTATGAACAGAGGCTCTCACCTCCTCACAAAGCGATTTTTTGTTTGGTCACAGTTTGTGTACAGTTATGTTGACTTTTGGAGGAAGTCACATGATGGGCTTATCTTTTGATATACAAACTCAGAGAATTTACAAAATGCTGAAACTGTAAACAAACAATGTTTCTGTTTTGGAAATGTGCTGTGTGTTAGGGCACTGAACAGCATTAGGAAGCATTTATGTAAGCACAGCTGTGTGAATGCTATTTCCATGAGGACTTCCACATTGCTAAAATGGATATTCAAGGAAAGAATTGAAGAATTTCTTTTCGAGAGGCAAGGGGGAAAACTAGAATATCACTATATTAGTTGGACTTATTTGTCTAAATAGAGACTTATTTAATGCAATTTGTATTTGGGAATATTTTTCTTTGTTCTACTTGGTTTATGTTCCTTGGGAACTAGAACCTATATGAATTGATTAATTATGAGATTGTAATGAATTCCTGTGGAAATACATATTCATATTAATTACATCCTGATGGGTGCAAAATTAATCCATAATTATTTAAATGTTCCATTGGAATATCAGAAAAATTAATAATGAGGGGCTGTTATTTTCAAGAGTCACTGCTCTATCCATGGTGAGATGAATGCTGCCATCAAGAAATTGGCTGATGGACATTAATTGCATCAAATAAAAAAGATAGCTTCCTGAATTGATAGCTGGTGTCTTGATCATGATTAATGCAACAAAACAAAACCCCAAAACAAAAAACCCCAACCAACTCTCTAAAAACTAAAACAATTTAAAAAAGAGCAAACAAACTAAATTCCCCCCACCAGCCAACCGCCATCCTCAACACCAACAACCCATCCTTTCCCCTCAGCTCACAAAATAAAACAAGGGGAGGAGGGAGACACAGTTTGTCAAAGCAAGGCAGACCTAGATTAAGGCATCAGCTCCACAAGGGCCATTCTGAGGAATGAATTATGGAGCTGCAGAATACACTGGTAGTTTTGTTAAAGAAAAAAACCCAAAAACAAACTAGTTGCTGGTTTGAAAACAGGGAAACTTTTATATTTAATATCTGAGGCTATGTAAGCCAACACAAGGCCTTCCAGAAGTGACTAATGGCCCCGTCCACTGACATCCTGGGGGGAGTCTGCCTTCCAAAGAAGTGGGAATATACAACACAGCAGGTGTAGTGCAATCTGAGAGGAGGCTGGTGCTCTGCATAATTTCATATTTCTGTGTGAACAAAGGGTTTGCCATTATGAAATTTGCTTTGAGTGATTATTTCAATCGCTTATGTACTCCAGTAAGATGATTCTGGTGATCTGATTATTGACAATGGGGAACTGAGTGAAGAAAGGTATGAAAATAGTAGAAGGCTGGTTAAGAAGAGAATGCAAAAGACATGAAAGAGAAAGTAAGGTGTGCTTTGGAAAAATTTAAAAACTGCACCATTATAAGCACCAGAAAGGTGTATTGATTTGCTTTCTTATTTTACTTTAGACACTCAAAGCAAAAGGCTTTAATTAGGCAAGGATAGTTTTAACCATATGGAGAAAGATTTTTTTTTTTGCAAGCCTTTGATGCTAGTTTTTTCTCCCATATATATATTTAGCAAACAGTAGAGAAATATGGATTGCAATTAATCAGAAACTCAAAATCGGTATTTATAAAATGCAATGAAATATATTTTATACTGCATTAGGCTTGAATGCTTCCCTTTCTGTGCTCTGAAACTGAGAATTCTTTACAGCCACCAACGCACAAAGAAAAGGAAGATCCTTAATGTCAGTAACAATTTAGCAATTATTTAATTTATTTATGGTGGTGAGAAAAAATTTTCATCACTTTTCATTCTGTTTATTTGTGACAGAGTAGAAATTTTATCTTTAGATTGTGTATTTTCATATTTTGGACTTTTGGAAACAAATTTTTATTTGAAAACCAAATATTTGCAGTTCACTTCTAATAAAGTGTCTGGTGAGGGAAAGGACTCCAGACTTCACATGTCAGACTGTGCATAAAATATGTGAACTAGCAAGAAGCACTGCAGAGCAATTAGCTGAACTAGTAGTTTACAAAAAAGAAATGAATTTAAATTAGATCATATTTTAGGGAAACCTCAGAACCAAATATTGCTATCAATTGCTGCTAGAGGAAAGAAGTGATTTTGCACACTTAAGTTGCCTATCAGGAGACATTCTCAGCAGAACTTGTGTTTTAAAGGCATAGAGGAATTTAACGGGGCCTTGAAATTATGTATTTGGGGTTGGGTTGCACTGGTGTCAGACAAGAACTGTAAGCAATCATCTGCACCTCCACTGAGATTTGTCTCTGTGGTATTTTCCAGGCAGGCTAGATCTTGCTTTGCTCTTCTTCCAAGACTTCCAGATGCAAAACAATTCTGAAATGGGAGCTGAGCAGGTGAATTCGTGTGGGAGTCTGACCTGTGCTATTAACCTGCTAAGAGGGATAAAGTTGTACTGAAACATTAAATGTTGTGTCCTTACAGCAGATGTCCATGTCTTTTTCAGAAGAGTGCTCTGAAGGAACAGATTTAACTCTAAGAATAATCTTGGCTTGATGATACTTGTCTTGCTCCCAAGAAATATGTTCAGCTTGAAATATCAATTAAGTCTATCACTTCCATTTAGAACATACATATGTACATACATACATATATATATATATATACACACATATATATAAATATATGTATGGGTCTCCCCTCTAGACCTCATTCCAGCTATAATTCCCTTTCCAAACTGATGAGAATAAAAAATATCTGTATCAGATTTTCTTCTTTGACTATTTTGTAACCTGAAATGTTGCAGTCTAATTAAATTCTTATTTTCATGTATCAAGACAGAAATGTTACCATTGGTCAAATGATCTCAGCAGTCTTGTGTATAATTTTAAATGTTGTGGCCGGTGCTTTTATTTTGGGGTAGAACATTGTGCCCCTCGTAGGCACAATGATGCTTACCACTGCCAGCTCTCCTTCACTTTGGACTCTGAAAGGAGGAATTGGAAACCAGATACTCTAAATGAATGTCAGCTGGCCCCAAACCATTCTGAAATGACCACTCTTGGAATGTGGAAGCTCATGTTGCTTCAGCCTGTACATTTGTCTAGCTGTGATGTCTGTAATGCAGTGTGGTTTGTGTGCCCTTTGGCATCCTGACCAA